TCCTCCTCCTCGTCCTCCTCCTCCTCCTCCTCCTGCTCCCCCGCCTCCTGCCCAGAACCTCACGAGCACGATGAAGACGTGGCCTCACTGAGGTCCCCGTGCTTGCGCGTGGGAGGGTGATTCTGGTCGGTTTAGTGCGACACGTCCGATGGAAAAGGCCCCTCTTATCCCTGATGCTTTGGGCCTGCTGACTTAGTCTTGCTTCTAATGTGATCTGGGCACGTATGTTGCTTACGCTCGGCGGGGGGTGTGGGCAAGGGCAGGCTCGGGTCGGTCACGCGCCTCTGAGAGAGCCTTCAGAAACCGCCTCAGGTCTCCCAGGACGGCTCCAAGTTGAAGTGTGCTCCGAGGCCCACAGGGCCACTCTCCTCTCCAGGAAGCCAGAGTCGTTGAAGCCCATTGCTTTCTTCACCGCTGTTTGCTCAGGGGGATCGCATGAGGGGGATTTGCCAGCGATTTGGGATCCTCGCGATCGCTGCAGGCCTCCCGAATATGATCCGGAGCGAAGGAAGTTGGCCACGCGCAGAGAGTGGATAGGGGGCGGGGAAGGCTTCCTGGGGGCACCCCTGCGTCTTGGAAGGCGCGAGCCCTGTCTGCAGATGTAGGGCCCGCGCCTCCTAAGAAGCAGCCTCCTTCGATTCTAAGAAGCCTCCCCCTCCCCCCGCCGCTCTCTGCGCGCCGCCACTCAGGGGGGAACGCCTCCCAATCGCCCATGCCTCGCCGAGGGGGGCCCACGCCTCCCGTCCCGTCCAGGAGTGTGCGGCTTCGCCACGAGGGCCCTGTCGCTCATGTCTCGGTGAGGCGCCGCCGACTGCAAGTCGATGTTTCCCCCCTCCCCTTAGGTCCCCCTTATCGGCGTGGGCAATATTATATGATATAGATATTTTTGTGCATATATATATATATATAAATATATATATATATATATATATACATATGCACGTATATATATATATATATATATATATATACGTGTATATGTGTGTGTCCATACCTGGGCCCCAGGCCGCGACCCCGCGGCGCTTTTTTGTTCGGGATCGCTCCCCGCGCGGAGCGGACCCGTGCGAGCGCGCGTCCGCGGGATCGCGCCCCTGGAATCAAGACCGCGAGGGCCTGGATATGGACACGTTCGTTGCTCGTGAGAGAAGGAGGAGGCGGAGCAGCAGCAGCAGGAGGAGGAGGAGGAGAAGGAGGAGGAGGAGGAGGAAGCAGAGGAGGAAGCAGAGGAGGTGGAAGAGGAGGAAGAGGAGGAGGAGGAGAAGGGAGGAGGATGGAAGAGGAGGAGGAGGAGGAGGAGGAGGAGGAGGAGGAGGAGGAGGAGAAGGTGGAGGAAGAGGAGCCCTACTTGCTTCCTCTCGCTTGCCGCCCATGATACCCTCCATCCAAGACGCCGCCGAGGCACCATTCCAACGCCCTCGCCGCCGCCCGCGAGGCCGGGGAGCGCCGGCTTCACGCGGCGGAGGCCTCGCGGGAGGAGGGCGTTGGTGGCGGCGGCGTCGAGGCGGCGCGCAGATAGCGATGACTCGGATGGCGTGGGCGGCGGCGAACGGCGTTGACACGGGTCGAGGAGAAGGAGGAGGAGGAGGAGGAGGAGGAGGAGGATCAGGAGGAGGAGGAGGAGGAGGAGAAGGGCCCCAAGATGACCTCAGACGCTGGCGACATTTGGAGTCGGCTGGGAGGGCTGAGGTGGCCCAGCGCAGGTTCCGGCGAGCAGGGAGGGCGGCAAGGTTTGAGGTTCTGGGTCGGAGAAGGTTTGTCAGCTTCCTCGGCCTCCAGGGGGCAGTGTGCGGGCCGGAACCTCCAACAGTGGATCCAGTGTGCACATCTGCGCCAGCTGGGAGGAGGGGCCTGGCACCAACCAGCTCAGCCCTCCCCCCCCGGCCGCCTCAACGGTGCTGGCGGACGTGACTAAAGCAGTGGCGAAGCGTCCTGGCTCGCCTATAGCCCTACCAACCAATGTTCGAGGAACCTCTCGTGGTTCCCACGACTTGTTCCTAGAACAATTCTGGCCGGGACTGTCTTGTTTTAACATGTCGGGTGTATGTTCTAAGAACGCTGTTTTTGTTCTTAGAACATTTGGGGGCTCTGAGAACATTTCGTGGTATGACTATAGGAATGCCGGGACGGTCGGTCCCTGCTCAAGGTCACGGCGCGGTCAGCGGACGACGCGCACGGGCGGCATGGCGGCGTCGAGGAGACGGCGACGCCTCGATTGCTGGCCTGGGGCTGGGCCTGGGTCTGTCAGGAGGGAAAAAAAAACACAGACACTCAGAGCCCCGAATCATCAGGGGTAACTCGGGTCAGGGTTAACTCGGGTTCGTTTTTCGGGAATCCGAACCCGAGTTACCCCGGACCCGAGTTACCCCGGATATTTCGGGCGTCCGGAGCCCCGAATCATCAGGGGTAACTCGGGTCAGGGCTAACTCGGGTTCGTTTTCGGGAATCCGAACCCGAGTTACCCCGGACCCGAGTTACCCCGGATAACTCGGGCGTCCAAGACACAATTAATCGTCGATCCCCAAGAAAAGATGGGAAACTATGGGAATGGGGCGGGAAGACACAAACCCAGAAAATATGGGAACATATAGGGAATCTTGTTATTTGTGTGTATGTTATTTGTGTGTCCCAGGGCCCCTTTGGTCTGAGGCTGGGCAAGCCGAGGCTCGCAGCGAACGTCAGAGGCAGGACTGCGAGACGGGCCGGGGCGGGCCTCGGGGAGGCACGTGGTCGCGTTCGCACGAGGAGGAGGAGGAGGAGGAGGAGGAGGAGGAGGAGGAGGAGGAGGATAGGAAGACAGAGGGTGAGGATGAGGACGGGAGAGAGAGAGAGAGAGAGAGAGAGAGGATGAGGATGCGATGAGGAAAGGAGATGGGGGAGGAGGAGACAAAGAGAGGGAGTCAAAAGGATGAGGATGAGGACGATGACGCATACAAGGTATGACTAGGCGGAGGACAGGGACGAAGAGGAGGATTGGAGGAGGATTGGAGGAGGAGGAAGAGGAGGAAGGAAGGAAGGATGGGAGGAGGAGGGAAGGAAGGAAGGAAGGAAGGAAGGATTGAGGAGGAAGGAGGAGGACGCTGAGGGAAGAGGCGGAGGATCCCCTCTTCCGCCCCTCAGATCCGACTCCGACGTTGCGAGCACACTGCGGCGACGCGACGGGGCGCGGCCGGGGCCACGGGCCCCATCTTCCTGCGGCAGTTCTCGCGCCAGATCGACTCGTGAGGGTCCCGGGTCCCGAAGCGAGGCAGAACCGCCCTTTTTTGAACAAGCACTGTAAAACAATGGTGCCCCCCCCCATGACCTCAGGGCCTCCAGGGTCGGTGGCCACGGGTGCATCCTGCAACCGCCCTGCACGATTGCTGAAGGGGAGTGGGGGTGTTTTTTCGTGTGGAGCTCCCGAGCGGAGTGAGCTCCGACCCCCCTTTCGGAAAGTGTGGGGGGCGGGGGCAGGATTCACATGTGGCCGCCTACAGGATTTCGGGGTCTCCGCCTCTGCAGGTGATTGGCCAATTTGCCACCACCACTACCATGGGCAGGACGGGGGAGAAGGGAGGATGGGGAGGTCCTCCTCCTCCTCCTCCTCCTCCTCCTCCTCCTCCTCCTCATTGCATGGGCTGCCCAACGGCTGCTCGAGTCTGGCACATGGACGCAAGTTGACCCTGATCGTTCCCTCCGCCTCTTGAGAGCCCCTGCCCCTCCGAAGGTCACGGTCACTAGCCATGTGTTGTTTCGCTGTGAGGCCACCAGCACCTATAAGTGCAGGAGCTGTGGCCGTGTTGCTCGCACGTCGGAGTCACTTAAGAGCCTGCTCGCGAGTAGAGACACTCGTGACTGTATGCCGTCACCGATCCAGCGACACGTGTGCGACCAGTGGTTTCGTGAGATTGGGGCTGCGTTTAGGCCCGTGCAGCTGGAAGCGGTG